ATTTATTTTTGCTTCAAAAAATATAAATTGAACGTCAGAAAAAAATATATAAAAGGGACACCAGTGTTCCTCTGCGTTAAGGGATTATAGAAATTTTAAAATTACATACTTTGTGAAACCGTCACAAGAACTATGAAGCTGATGCAAAGTATTAATTTATGAGTAGCAACCATTTTTGGAAAGGTCCAGCTGATCGAAGTACAGGATGAACAGTAACTGCCCCAAAAGCAATGATGTCTTTTATAGAAGAGAATATAATTTATTTTAATATTGCAAATAATCGTAACGTACATAGTAATGTAAACACAAAAGAAGGCAGATGATAATTTTTTTACTTAAGATAATAAAATACTTGTTTTTACAGATGCTGAAAGGATAGTAAAATGCTCATGAATATTAAGTATTATCCGTATATTTGAAATTCAGTAAAGAACATTGATTTAATTTGTAATAATATATGCATAAAATCTTTTTTTAATATTCATAAGATAATAAATAAAACCCTATGACTCGTTTCACTTAAATGTTCCTATTTTCAAATTACTTTTCGAATTTTATTTCATGTAATAAATATAAAAATCTTTAAAAGCAATATAAAAAAGAATTAAGAATTTATTGTATACATAGCAAAAGTTTTCCAACTACGAGGTACAGCACGGATTCTAAAGAGTATGCATACTTTTTCATTATTTAACGGTGGGGTTTTCAGCATCATTGTTTATAGAAGCGAGAAAAGCATTCTTTTTAAAAGAAACTATAAACTTTAACGGCCGGTAAGTGGCTCCGGTAAAAAACTAATATTTTTCTAGTAAACAAACGAGCAATGAAAAGTGCTCTAAAATAGATTACCTCGAAGCTATCTTGTGATGAAATTACGTTGTATTACTTAATAGGAGAGAAGAGGCAAAAGAAGTATCATTGTTCATAGATACGGTTTTCATTACATCAATATTTACAAAAATTCATTGTTTATAACAACGCGAAAAGCATTTCTTTTCTTCTAAAAACAACGATAAATAACGACGCAGCCTCGGCAGAGAAGGCATATTTTTTCTAGTAAACAAACAAATAGTATATAGACTTGCTTCAGAACTCCTCCCGACACCCGTCTCGCGTCGTGGCGGGTACCACTGGCCAGGCCCGTCCTCAACGGTGGGGGTGAGAGGGGCATCTCACCCCCCCCCCCC